TTTAAAACATACATCGACCTCTACATTCACGTATTTACATCCACTACACGCATTATTTAATACATACATCGACCTCTACATCCACGTGTTTACATCCAATACACGCATTATTTAAAACATACATCGACCTCTAGATCCACGTGTTTACATTCACTTCACCTATGATTTAAAACATATATCGACCTCTACATCAACGTATTTACATTCACTTCACACATTTTAAAGGGGGCACGGGTGGCCCAGTCGTCTAAGGCGCCGCGATTCGCTGTGCAGAGTTGCGTCCCTTGGGCACGCCAGAAATCTATGATTGTGGGTTCGAATCCCGGTTCGCCCCAATTATGTTTCTAGGTTTGTCAGCACCATACCCGTGCTCGTGGGTTTCACCGAAGTGGTAAACGTCTGTGACCTGCATCACTTCGTGCTTTCCTCCCACATTAAGCTGACACGCCGCGATATAACTGGAATACTGTTAAAAGCGGCGTTAAACCAAACTCACTCACTCACTCACTCACTCACTCACTCACTCACTCACTCACTCACTCACTCACTCACTCACTCACTCACTCACTCACTCACTCACTCACTCACTCACTCACTCACTCACTCACTCACTCACTCACTCACTCACTCACTCACTCACTCACTCACTCACTCACTCACTCACTCACTCACTCACTCACTCACTCACTCACTCACTCACTCACTCACTCACTCACTCACTCACTCACTCACTCACTCACTCACTCACTCACTCACTCACTCACTCACTCACTCACTCACTCACTCACTCACTCACTCACTCACTCACTCACTCACTCACTCACTCACTCACTCACTCACTCACTCACTCACTCACTCACTCACTCACTCACTCACTCACTCACTCACTCACTCACTCACTCACTCACTCACTCACTCACTCACTCACTCACTCACTCACTCACTCACTCACTCACTCACTCACTCACTCACTCACTCACTCACTCACTCACTCACTCACTCACTCACTCACTCACTCACTCACTCACTCACTCACTCACTCACTCACTCACTCACTCACTCACTCACTCACTCACTCACTCACTCACTCACTCACTCACTCACTCACTCACTCACTCACTCACTCACTCACTCACTCACTCACTCACTCACTCACTCACTCACTCACTCACTCACTCACTCACTCACTCACTCACTCACTCACTCACTCAACATACATCCACGTGTTTACATTCATTCACGCATTATTTAAACATACCTCTAAATCTGCATGTTTCAATACTGGAAATTCACAGTTGCGTGAACTGTTTTTACCTGGACATTTTACCCCGGTCTTGTACTCACAGGACGAAATGTAAAGATCCGAGTTAGAATAATTGTTTTTCACCAACCCATGCTTGTCGTAAGAGTCGATTAACGGGATCGGACTAGAATTGGTCTTCAGAAATCGATTCGTAAGAGGTGACTAACAGGATCGGGTGATCAGACTCGCTGACTTGGTTGATGCATGTCATCGTATCCCAACTGCGGTGAATAATTATGTCAATCACTGGATTGTCAGGTGCAGACTTGGTTTACAGACCGACCTCATATGGCTGAAATTGGTTGAATGAACGCAATCACTGGTTTGTCAGATTCAGATTTGCTTATTTACAGACCGACCTGGAATGGCCGGAATATTGCAGAATGCAGCGTTAAAAAACAAACAAATAAACTAACAAATCTGACATGACAGTGACTTAACGTGTGCTTCTCCTGATCAAAGGTATGAGGTCGGAACACCTCCAAATACCAAGCCATACAAATGTCACAAAAAGACGTGAGTCAGTGATGACATGATTTCGTGGCTGTCTTTTTCCTTACAAAGTAATTGGAAACGTTGTCTGACGGTTTCTTGTCAATGAAAAACATGACGTTGCATATGCTGTGTGCGGGATACCCAGGAGTTGACCTCGGTTTCTGTAACGTGACTATGCAAGCGTGGTGGTAACACTGCATAGGTTCTGCTGCTTCGCGGATACAGCCTGTCTCCGAATCAAGTGCCGACATGTCCTATCACTACTGTCATGATTATAACGAAATGTCGACGAGAAACATTAGAATTCAAGGTATCTTGATAAAAGTGACAAAACCATTTGCATAATCAAAGGAAATCTGGTAAAACCAGAGCCCAGTGTACGATTCCGACCATATCAGAAGCATGTGGTTATGATCAAATAGTGATGATACAGCTGTTCGCGAAAAGGTCAGCGTATTCTGCCTCACAGTTGGCATCAGGCACACACACATGCAAAGGCAAGTCAATTGTTCATTTGAAAAAACACGGGAACATATGGTACAAGTTAAAATAAGGAATTTCATCACACTTCTTTTTTGTTTCTGATGTGTCAAATTTTGAAAAGACATCCACGTCAAGGACACGCCAAGGCCTTGCATGTTGCAACCCTGGTCAAACAAGTTTTGATCAGGAGTCGTATGACGCTCTTTGATATATTCGTAGCAAGAATATGCTCTCCTGTACCTACAAAGTTGTGGAGCTGCAGGAACATTGCTCGACATAAAAGGAAATTGAAGTCATCCCTCTTGTCATACCCCTTGTCTTGTGAATAGTTGTTGTCACTAACTGAATCTTTTTGCCTAAATATAAATATGAAGCAGATGAAATTTACACTGGTCTCTTTTATTTCTAGTTCAGGTTTGTAAATCAGTGGAAGGAATTGGCAACTAGGCGGTTATTGAACGATATCAAATCATCCATATACCTGGAGCTTAAGTTAAACTCCCTTGTTTTGAGTTTGCCAATCTGAACTGATTTAGACATTCCGATCCATATGCATTATTACGAAATAGATCATTAAGGAGGGGATCACAATTGGTGCCCATTATGTCTTATCCCCAAATTTCACACAGCTGTTTCATCAATGAGGAAGTCAAGCATTTCACATATTGTTTTTTCATTCAACTTCAGATGACATATACTTTCTTTTTTTGACAAATTGTCCTGAACATTTGACGACAGAGGTTTAAGGGACCGACAAATTGATATTGTGCGTGCGTGCGTGCCTGAGAGACAAGATGTTTTTTAACTACATTTGCAAAACCAGCTATTTTATTTAATACACAACTAGGAGGCAAAATATCGCCGTATAAATATATTCATGGTCACAACGTTCATAGAAAATGGAATTAAGTTTTTCGTTAAGTTTGCCGTGTGGGACAGTGATATACAAAGTTGAAAAATCAAACATTTCGACATAATTTAACATGGTTCTTGGAGAATGTGAAACGTCAAGAAAATTGTTTGTTTGCTGTTTAACGCTGTTTCAAGCTGTTTAACGTTGGTTAACGCTGTTTAAGGCAATATCTTAGATATATGGTGCCGGGCGAGTCTGGACCAGACAATCCAGTGATTGACATACGCATTGAGATCCGGGAAACGATGACGACAGTCCTATTGATATTATGTTCCTTTATGTTCCTTTATGTTCCTTGACAGTGGGAACAACCACAAACTTTTCATGTTGGGCTGTCAGATGGAGCAGATGCATTTGATGTCTTTCTTAAACAGACTCCATGCATGTTACAAAGTATCGTTAAACGAAAAGTAACACTTTCAATAAATTTACAATGCATGAATTATCGTGTCACGTACTCGTAAACCTCCATGGACGTTTCACAAGGGATTAAATAAGTACGATATACACTGAAACAACTCAGAAACATTTATTGAATATATATTTGCACAAAGGGTAGAACATCATGTTAAACAATGTCGCCCCGGTAGCGTACGGCATTCAATGATGAGTTGTGTTCTCCCATGTGTTGTGATGCCACCCCATACCATTACACTTCCACCCCCAAACTGACGAATTTTAGCAACGCGAACGTCGCTAAAATGTTATCCTGGACGCTGTCCAGGTGAAACCTGCTTCGTCTGTGAACAGAATATTGGTCCATTCTTGTCTTCTGAACCTCAGATGATGTTTACACCAAGCTAGGCGTGCCTGACGGTGATGCGGAAGCAAAATTGGGCGTTCAGCTCAATGTCGGGGCCAGATGTTATGTTCCCTCAACCGGCTGCGTACGGTTCAGCCACTAATTCGTCTCAACCCTTGGATGGTACGAGTTGTGGCAGCTTGGTGTCGATTCCGTAGATGCACCAACCGAATATAATTGTCTTTTTGACGTGACGTCACATGTGGATGACCGGCCTGTGGCAAGTCATGAGTGTTGCCGACCTGTGAAGATCCGGGGTACACAAGGTCTTCAGCAACCCATGCTTGCCGTAAAAGGCGACTATGCTTGTCGTAAGAGGCGGCTAACGGGATCAGGTGGTCAGGCTCGCTGACTTTGTTGAGGCATGTCAATCGCATCTCAATTGCGTGTATCGATGCTCATGATGTCAATCACTAGATTGTCTGATCCAGACTCGATTATTTATCGACCGCCGTCACATAGCTGAAACAGGACATGGTATATGAATCATTTTACTCCCAACTGATTGACAATTCTTTCATGCCAGACGTCTTATTTGACTAGTACATGTGAGCCCCAGTGAAGTTCTTGGTTAGAATTGGTCTTCAGTAACCCATGCTTGTCGTAAGAGGAGACTAACTTTGATCGATGCTCACGATGTCACTCAACGGATTGTCCAGACTCGAATTTTTACGGAGCGCCGTCATATATAGCTTGAATATTGCTGAGTGCGGCGTTAAACAACAAACAAACAAACATGAGCGTCGCTCTTTTGCAGATAACGTCTTAAAAGAGATGATATTGTGTTTCAATGAAAATCATAACGTATGGTAACTTCGTTTTGCACCATTCCTATTTGCGACATATCCACTGGGCGTAAACGTCGATTTTCACCAATCCGTGACATTGCGTGAGCGTTATTTAGGTGAAACAAACGTGTTTTTACGTCAATATGGTATAACATGCTTTATTCAGATGCAGCTGAACTGCACTCTGGGTGTTGAAAATGCGACATATTTACATAATTTTATCTCAATCATTTTATTTGTCACAATACTCCTATACGAGATTTGAAAACTACGAAATACACTGAGAACACATAAAAAAGTTCAAAGGATATATCTCATCCATACATGTAACTCTATTTAATGAAATCCTCACATCTGGCAAATTTCCTAATGAATAGAATGATGTAAAGCTATAATCTGCCAGTAACACAAAAAAAGGTTCAAAAAGCCACTTTAACAAATACAAAGGAGTTTCTTAACTGAACGTTTTATGTGTCACAGAATGTGTGATTGCCAAATATACTTGTAAAGCCAAGTATACATACACAGAGTAATGGCTTAAATATTTCCGGGGATGATATCTCTTTTAAACCAATAAAAATGGAGCACACATTCTCTTTCATTTTACAATGTGTTAAACCAGGACAGTCGAAGCAAGATATTAGATATTGTTTCCGAACTGACACTGCTCTTATACTGAAATATACATTGATGATTGACATCTAGAACATCTCAAATTTCTCAAATAAAACCAAAATTCGTTTCACATGGAACCATAAGGTGCTAAGCAATGTAACCATTCTAAAACAGTGGCTATCCTCTCAAATGTTCCTTGGAATGGCTTTGCACTTGAAAGGGGGAGCATTGTTGGCAAAGCCCATTATTCCTATCAGTGGTTGCAGCGTTCCACTCGGAGGGACGAACTTGAACCTCTGAATCAATGTGGTAAGAACCAGGAACAGTTCCATGCGGCCTAGTGACTCCCCAGGACATGCTCGGCGTCCTGCAAACCAGATTAAACACGAGGAAAGATCATTAAATGATGTACACGAATGACATATCTTTTGTCTAGCAGAGGCTTTGACTACACATGTATGTTTAATACATTATTAGTTCATGTTGTAATAGGGGGCACGGGTGGCCCAGTCGTCTAAGGCGCCGCGATTCGCTGTGCAGAGTTGCGTCCCTTGGGCATGCCAGAACCTATGTGGGTTCGAATCCCGGTTCGCCCCAATTATGTTTCTAGGTTTGTTAGCACCATACCCGTGCTCGTGGGTTTCACCGAGGTGGTAAACGTCTAAGACATGCATCACTTCGGGCTTTCCTCCCACATAAAGCTGACACGCCATGATTAACTGGAATAATGTTAAAAGCGGCGTTAAACCCAACTCACTCACTCACTAACTCGTAGTACATAAAGAAAACGAATGACCATCGACTATATTGTCTCGGTTAACATGGTAATGTCTATATGCATAGTGTGTGCAATAGGGACAACTTTTCTCAGAAACTACTGACATTAAACAAAAAACAACCAACCAATCCTTATAGGACTCTTGTTTATAGGTCACTACAATGTGAACAAACTCAATTTAACATGCCCATTTGCGGAGGGTAGTGATAACGCTGTTTTCCATATTTGAATATTGAGTTTGATACATGAGTTCTCACGTTAAATATTCTATTGCTTATTATTATTAAAAACGTTAGGGAGCTAAAAAAGTTGATACCATCAGCAAAAGATTCTTACCAAGAGAAAAAGCAACTAATTCATCCCTCTTTCGGAATTTCCCTTCATGGTCAAGGAAGCGTTCAGGTCTGAAATTTTGTGGATCCCCCCACGTTGCCGGATCATGAAGTACAGAGTTCAACATAGGAATAATAGTGACACCCTTGGGGAACGTGTAGCCCTGGAACTGGACATCGTGGGGGACTGTGTGTGGCACCCCTGTGGGTACCATGTCTGCGTGTCTCAGGACTTCTGAAAGCGTGGCTTCTACGTAAGAAAGGCTGGTCTTGTCCTTCATGGAGGGTCGTCTGTTGAACCCGACGTGTTCTTGGATCTCCTGGAAACACTTCTCCTGAACTTCCGGGTAATGAAGTAGGTGTAGTAGTGACCATTTGATGCTGTTGGCATTATCATACGTTCCGGGTGTGAAGATATCAATCAGAAACATCGATAGGTGACTTTCTAAACAGAAATGATAATGCATTAATTATTAAGACAATGCACAAAATGTATGACGATGGATGGATTCAATGACTTTTTCATGTCTTCAGTTTTTTAAAGTTTTTCGCTGATGGATCCTTATGCTTAGTATAAAGGTGCCATCGGAGATATTGTAAATTATCTATAAAAAAGATACAGAATTGTCAAATAAAAGCGATAAAATTCTTAGAGTTTGAAATCCAAAAGGACATTGTATGATTCTGACTAAATCAAAAACATCAAAGATTATACCATAAATACACTAACTCATAATATATAATTCATTTTACCATCAAAAGTCTCGTCTCTTTGCTTGCGGCGTCGCACCTCTTTGAGGAAAGCGGAGGTGAAGTCTTCAACGGGTTCATCTTCTTCGTAGTTGTTGACGTGTTCCTCAATGTGTTTAGCTACTTCTTTCTCCAGTACTTGGATGTTTCTCATAAGGCGTTTATAGTTAAAGAAATCTCCCGGTAGAAATCTCACAGCTGGAAACACATCCAACACGTTTGCAGCTCCTAAATCAGTAATCATCTCCTCTACTGCGTCTAGCAGCCTGATGAATCGTGGGTCATTATATTCATAATGCTTTCCGAAACAAAGGTCAGAAACGATATTAGACGTAGCAGTGTGGACATGTCGTTTACAATCAAACTCATTCGAACCTTCATCCTCAAATGCTTTCAAAAGTTTATCCAGTTCTTGCTGTATTTTCTCTTCAATGGTTGACCTTCCCACCCCGAACTCTCTGAGAGTGGTGACAGCGAACTTTCTCATGTCTTTCCATGTAGAGCCGTTGGTGCTTAATATTCCTATAATATAAAGCATATTTACATATAATGTTATTTGTTGACATCGTCATGGAATAATGAAGCTGTGTGGTTCTTCTGGGGTTTTTTTATATTTATGATATAAATAAGAATCAAGAACATAGTAACTACACACTGGACGACAGTGTTTGTTTGTTTGTTGTTTAACGCCGCTCTCAGCAATATTCAAGCTACATGACGACGGTTTGTAAATAATCGAGTCTGGACCAGACAATCCAGTGATTGACCTCATGAGCATCGCTCCACCCGACCCCGTTAGGCGCCTCTTGCTGAAGACCTACTATAACCCGGATCTTCACAGGTCTCAACACAATTGAAGTGGCTTAATGTATAACATACATAATGCATATGCATAATACGCATGCTATTATGTATATGTTGCAAATCTGTTACACTGTCACCTTTTTTTAAAACTTTAATTTGGTAAATAATATAAATAGTTTGCTATTTAGTCACAAAACATTCACGACAAATGTCGAACTTTTGTGGAGCTTTACTCCATCACGCTGTCTGAAGTACCAGGTCCCGGGTCGTCCATTCACTCAACAATCTTAGAGGTCCGCCATGTTTGCTTATTATTTATGTGTTAACGCAATCTCCTTGACCTACGACGACATGCATAATTAAGCATATCAATATGTTTGCATGCATACCAATAATGCTCCTATCAATCGGAAAACGATGTTGTAAAGATATCCTACTTGTATTTGTTTATTTACTAGTATTAGGTTTCAATAATCATTACTGTTATAGTTGTCATATACGTTATTCTGGCCTATATTTACTCATTTTTGTATCACTTGACACTTCCAAACATTTGCAGATATTTACGTTTGCTTTTATTTATTTAGCTTCACTAATCGTAGCGATCAGCTCATAATCAATCGTGTGTGTGAGTTTTTCTCCCTTGGCCTTTCATTCGTCTTAGTGACATGTGACGCCATGCATATATTAACATATTCATTCTTCCATGCTAAAGAGGGTCCACAATATTAACGGGATCCTTGAAAGCTAGTTGAAGATATACTTCTCGAATTTAATATTTACGAAGTAACATTCAGATCCCTACTCCCTTCAATGTATTGGACACATGCCTCATTCAACACTACATTCCCCCGAAGGCTTCCCGCCGTGATATTGCAGGAATAGTGCTAAAATCGGCATAAAGTACGCTCACACGCCACTACATACACCAAAATCTACAGTTACCTACCTTTGTTGTGACCAAAGATATCCGATAGGAAGGAGTGAGGCCTGTCTGAGAAAACATCAGCGTTCTTGACCAGGGCCTCTTTGTGGACATTGTAGCCGTTGAGGACGATGACGGGCTTGTGGAAGATGTACACGCTGAAGATGTCGCCATACTGACGTCGCAGTTTGCTGAAAGTCACTCGGGGATCGGCATCCATTTGAAAAATGTTGCCCACCAGTGGTAGAAGAGGGGGCCCGGGGGGAAGTCCAGGGTGACGCCGCGTTGACAGCCATAGAATTAGTAATACAGTGACAAACACCAGTATCAGAGATGTATTGAACATCAACAGTCCCGCCAGCAGTGCGACAGCAGCCATAATGGAAGCATTGCTTTGATTTAACATGGCTGCCATGTCTAGTTGCCGAATGGATGTAGGTTATCTCGCTGATGCTTTTTGTAAGCCAGTGCACCACAGTAACAGCTCCTGGATCAGACCATAACTGGTAAAGGTAGGGGTAATAAATTTAGACTCGTCCATTGCAACTGCCCCTACCAACCCAGACGATCGCCATGTTTGTTTGCTCATTCTTTACGTGTGTCATGTATAATATAATGCACACATCTCGTTATGCCAGCTTTAGTATGCGACATACATATTGATGTTTAAACTTACAGTATACGTGTGAAATATATGTTTTAATATCATTTTAATGGATTCAGTAGGGTCCAAGCTTAACAGAACATATATCCACAGCGAATATAATGAAGCCTTCTTGAATTAAATAAAACATATTTCATCACAATTTATACTTAATTAATAGATGCTTACATACTTACTTTATTGCGTCCTGTAATGCATTCAACATTTTATAAGCTTCGTCTGTCAGGCATTTAACAATCACGGTATCACAATTTCTACTTGATTAATTTATTACATGCTGCAATACATTCAACAGTAACACAAGTTTCGTCTGTCAGGCATTTAAGAATCACGGTATCACAATTTCTACTTGATTAATTTATTACATGCTGCAATACATTCAACAGTAACACAAGCTTCGTCTGTTAGGCATTTAACAATCACTGTATCACAATTTCTACTTGATTAATTTATTACATGATGCAAAACATTCAACAGTAAACCAAGCTTCGTCTGTTAGGTATTTAAGAATCACGGTATCACAATTTCTACTTGATTAATTTATTACATGCTGCAATACATTCAACATTAACACAAGCTTCGTCTGTTAGGCATTTAACAATCACGGTATCACAATTTCTGTTGGTTTATTTATTACATGCTGCAATACATTCAACATTAACACAAGATTCGTCTGTTAGGCATTTAAGAATCACGGTATCACAATTTCTACTTGATTAATTTATTACATGCTGCAATACATTCAACGTTAACACAAGTCGTATGACGCTCTTTGATATATTCGTAGCAAGAACATGCTCTCCTGTACCTAAAAAGTTGTGGAGCTGCAGGAACATTGCTCGACATAAAAGGAAATTGAAGTCATCCCTCTTGTCATACCCCTTGTCCTGTGAATAGTTGTTGTCACTAACTGAACCTTTTTTTGCCTAAATATAAATAATAAGCAGATGAAATTTACACTGGTCTCTTTTATTTCTAGTTCAGGTTTGTAAATCAGTGGAAGGAATTGGCAACTAGGCGGTTATTGAACGATATCAAATCATCCATATACCTGGAGCTTAAGTTAAACTCCCTTGTTTTGAGTTTGCCAATCTGAACTGATTTAGACATTCCGATCCATATGCATTATTACGAAATAGATCATTAAGGAGGGGATCACAATTGGTGCCCATTATGTCTTATCCCCAAATTTCACACAGCTGTTTCATCAATGAGTGAGTGAGTGAGTTGGGTTTAACGCCGCTTTTAACAGTATTCCAGTTATATCACGGCGTGTCAGCTTAATGTGGGAGGAAAGCCCGAAGTGATGCAGGTCTCAGACGTTTACCACTTCGGTGAAACCCACGAGCACGGGTATGGTGCTGACAAACCTAGAAACATAATTGGGGCGAACCGGGATTCGAACCCACAATCATAGGTTTCTGGCGTGCCCAAGGGACGCAACTCTGCACAGCGAATCGCGGCGCCTTAGACGACTGGGCCACCCGTGCCCCCGTTTCATCAACGAGGAAGTCAAGCATTTCACATATTGTTTTTACATTCAACTTCAGATGACATATACTTTCTTTTTTTGACAAATTGTCCTGAACATTTGACGACAGAGGTTTAAGGGACCGACAAGTTGATATTGTGCGTGTGTGCGTGCGTGAGAGCCAATATGTTTTTTAACTACATTTCAAAAGCCAGCTATTTTATTTAATTCATAACTAGGAGGCAAAATATCGCCGTATAAATATATCCATGGTCACAACGTTCATAGAAAATGGAATTAAGTTTTTCGTTAAGTTTGCCGTGTGGGACAGTGATATACAAAATTGAAAAATCAAACATTTCGACATAATTTAACATGGTTCTTGGAGAATGTAAAACGTCAAGAAAATTGTTTGTTTGCTGTTTAACCCCCATGGACGTTTCACAAGGGATTAAATAAGTACGACATACACTGAAACAACTCAGAAACATTTATTGAATATATATTTGCACAAAGGGTAGAACATCATGTTAAACAATGTCGCCCCGGTAGCGTACGGCATTCAATGATGAGTTGTGTTCTCCCATGTGTTGTGATGCCACCCCATACCATCACACTTCCTACCCCCAAACTGACGATTTTTAGCAACGCGAACGTCGCTCAAATGTTATCCTGGACGCTGTCCAGATGAAACCTGCTTCGTCTGTGAACAGAATATTGGTCCATTCTTGTCTTCTGAACCTCAGATGCTGTTTTACACCAGGCGTGCCTGACGGTGATGCGGAAGCAAAATTGGGCGTTTAGCTCAATGTCGGGGCCAGATGTTATGTTCCCTCAACCGGTTGCGTACGGTTCAGCCACTAATTCGTCTCAACCGAGTTGTGGCAGTTTGGTGTCGATTCCGTAGATGCACCAACCGAATATAATTGTCTTTTTGACTTGACGTCACATGTGGATGACCGGCCTGTGGCAAGTCATGAGTGTTGTCGACCTGTGAAGATCCGGGGTAGAATAGGTCTTCAGCAACCCATGCTTGCCGTAAAAGGCGACTATGCTTGTCGTAAGAGGCGGCTAACGGGATCAGGTGGTCAGACTCGCTGACTTTGTTGAGGCATGTCAATCGCATCTCAATTGCGTGTATCGATGCTCATGATGTCAATCACTAGATTGTCTGATCCAGACTCGATTATTTATCGACCGCCGTCACATAGCTGAAACAGGACATGGTATATGAATCACTTTACTCCCAACTGATTGACAATTATTTCATGCCAGACGTCTTATTTGACTAGTACATGTGAGCCCCAGTGAAGATCTTGGTTAGAATTGGTCTTCAGTAACCCATGCTTGTCGTAAGAGGAGACTAACGGGATCGGGTTGTCAGGCTCGCTGACTTGGTTGATGCATGTTATTATGTCCCAATTCCTTTGATCGATGCTCACGATGTGACTCAACGGATTGTTCAGACTCGAATATTTACGGACCGCCGTCATATATAGCTTGAATATTGCTGAGTGCGGCGTTAAACAACAAACAAACAAACATGAGCGTTGCCCTTTTGCAGATAACGCCTTCAAAGAGATGATATTGTGTTTCAATGAAAATAATAACGTATGGTAACTTCGTTTTGCACCATTCCTATTTGCAACATATCCACTGGGCCTAGACGTCGATTTTCACCAATCCGTGACATTGCGTGAGCGTTATTTAGGTGAAACAAAGTTAACGTGTTTTTACGTCAATATGGGTATAACATGCTTTATTCAGATGCAACTGAACTGCACTCTGGGTGTTGAAAATGCGACATATTTACATAATTTTATCTCCTCCACCCCTCCACCCCCCAACCACCCCCGAATGTGTGGACTGCAGTTAGTGCTTTTTCTGAGCGCACACCGCGACTCGGGACACTTGTTTGTATTACCGGGGTACACATCAGGTGACCTCGAGCACAACCCTGGGCTTTGTATCATGACTTTCACCGGTAAAGTAGGTCACAACAGGCCCCGTACTGAGTCTCAAAGGTCATCTCTCTGTCTGTCTGTCTGTCTGTCTGTCTGTCTCTCTCCCTCTCTCTCTCTCTGTCTCTCTCTCTCTCTCTCTCTCCTGGAAGTTAAACTACTTCATAACATTTACTTTTCTCTATATTAAGTTATTACATGCCAAGATACAAGAGGCAAGAGAAAGGTAGTAAAAGGTTTTAATTTCCGAAATCTTGCGAAAACCAGGCACAGGAAATCCCTGTGGATAAAAGAGATTTGAAAACTACGAAATACCAGGTTGCGACGGGATTTCAGGAGGACACTTAAAAAAGTTCAAAGGATATATCTCATCCATACATGTAACTCTATTTAATGAAATGTTTTATCATATAATGCTATATTGTACTTACACGCAGATAAACTACAAAGTTGGCATTTGGACATCTCAAATTTCTCAAATAAAACCAAAATTCGTTTCACATGGAACCATAAGGTGCTAAGCAATGTAACCATTCTAAAACAGTGGCTATCCTCTCAAATGTTCCTTGGAATGGCTTTGCACTTGAAAGGGGGAGCATTGTTGGCAATGCCCATTATTCCTATCAGTGGTTGCAGCGTTCCACTCGGAGGGACGAACTTGAACCTCTGAATCAATGTGGTAAGAACCAGGAACAGTTCCATGCGGCCTAGTGACTCCCCAGGACATGCTCGGCGTCCTGCAAACCAGATTAAACACGAGGAAAGATCATTAAATGATGTACACGAATGACATATCTCTTGTTAGGCAGAGTTGTGGGTTTTGACTACACATGTATGTTTCATACATTATTAGTTCATGTTGTAATACATGAAGAAAACGAATGACCATCGACTATATTGTCTCGGTTAACATGGTAATGTCTATATGCATACTGTGTGCAATAGGGACAAGTTTTCTCAGAAACTACTGACATTAAACAAAAAACAACCAACCAATCCTTATAGGACTCTTGTTTATAGGTCACTACAATGTGAACAAACTCAATTTAACGTGCCCATTTGCGGAGGGTAGTTATAACGCTGTTTTCCAGATTTGAATATTGAGTTTGATACATGAGTTCTCACGTTAAATATTCTATTGCTTATTATTATTAAAAACGTCAGGCAGCAAAAAACGTTGATACCATCAGCAAAAGATTCTTACCAAGAGAAAAAGTAACTAATTCATCCCTCTTCCGGAATTTCCCTTCATGGTCAAGGAAGCGTTCAGGTCTGAAATTTTGTGGATCCCCCCACGTTGCCGGATCATGAAGCACAGAGTTCAACATAGGAATAATAGTGACACCCTTTGGGAACGTGTAGCCATGGAACTGGACATCGTGGGGGACTGTGTGTGGCACCCCTGTGGGTACCATGTCTGCGTGTCTCAGGACCTCTGAAAGCGTGGCTTCTACGTAAGGAAGGCTTGTCTTGTCCTTCATGGAGGGTCGTCTGTTGAACCCGACGTGTTCTTGGATCTCCTGGAAACACTTCTCCTGAACTTCCGGGTAATGCAGTAGGTGTAGTAGTGACCATTTGATGCTGTTGGCATTATCAAACGTTCCGGGTGTGAAGATATCAATCAGAACCATCGATAGGTGACTTTCTAAACAGAAATGATAATGCATTAATTATTAAGACAATGCACAAAATGTATGACGATGGATGGATTCAAAGACTTTTTCATTTCTTCAGTTTTTTAAGGTTTTCGCTGATGGATCTTTATGCTTAGTATAAAGGTGCCATCGGAGATATTGTAAATTATCTATAAAAAAGATACAGAATTGTCAAATAAAAGCGATAAAATTCTTAGAGTTTGAATTCCAAAAGGACATTGTATGATTCTGACTAAATCAAAAACATCAAAGACAGGTGTTTTTTTAAAGCCGTCCTTTATACTGAAAGTATTTTATTCCAATTTGCTTATAAGTGTATACCATAAATACACTAACTCATAATATATAATTCATTTTACCATCAAAAGTCTCGTCTCTTTGCTTGCGGTGTCGCACCTCTTTGAGGAAAGCGGAGGTGAAATCTTCAACGGGTTCATCTTCGTCGTAGTTGTTGACGTGTTCCTCAATGTGTTTAGCTACTTCTTTCTCCAGTACTTGGATGTTTCTCATAAGGCGTTTATAGTTAAAGAAATCTCCCGGTAGAAATCTCACAGCTGGAAACACATCCAAAACGTTAGCAGCTCTTAAATCAGAAACTATCTCCTCTACTGCGTCTAGCAGCCTGATGAATCGTGGGTCATTATATTCATAATGCTTTCCGAAACAAAGGTCAGAAACGATATTAGACGTAGCATTGTGGACAAGTCGTTTACAATCAAACTCATTCGAACCTTCATCCTCAAATGCTTTCAAAAGTTTATCCAGTTCTTGCTGTATTTTCTCTTCAATGGTTGACCTTCCCACCCCGAACTCTCTGAGAGTGGTGACAGCGAACTTTCTCATGTCTTTCCATGTAGAGCCGTTGGTGCTTAATATTCCTGTAATATAAAGCATATTTACATATAATGTTATTTGTTGACATCGTCATGGAATGATGAAGCTGTGTGGTTCTTCTGGTGTTTTTTATATTTATGATATAAATAAGAATGAAGAACATAGTAACTACACACTGGACGGCAGTGTTTGTTTGTTTGTTGTTTAACGCCGCACTCAGCAATATTCAAGCTACATGACGGCGGTTTGTAAATAATCGAGTCTGGACCAGACAATCCAGTGATTGACCTCATGAGCATCGCTCCACCCGACCCCGTTAGGCGCCTCTTGCTGAAGACCTACTATAACCCGGATCTTCACAGGCCTCAACACAATTGAAGTGGCTTAATGTATAACATACATAATGCATATGCATAATACGCATTCTATTATGTATATATTGCAAATCTGTTATACTGTCACCTTTTTTTAAAACTTTAATTTGGTAAATAATATGAATAGTTTGCTATTTAGTCACAAAAGATTCACGACAAATGTCGAACTTTTGTGGAGCTTTACTCCTTCACGCTGTCTGAAGTACGAGCACCCGGGTCGGGTAGGAGACGGGCAAGTACCCGAGCAATAAATATGGACTCGACCATTCACTCAACAATCTTAGAGGTCCGCCATGTTTGCTTATTATTTATGTGTTAACGCAATCTCCTTGACAAACGACGACATGCATAAGTAAGCATATCAATATGTTTGCATGCATACCAATAATGCTCCTATCAATCGGAAAACGATGTTGTAAAGATATCCTACTTGTATTTGTATATGTACTAGTATGAGGTTTCAATAATCACTACTGTTATTATAGTTGTCATATACGTTATTCTGGCCTATATTTACACATTTTGTGTATCACTTGACACTTCCAAACATTTGCAGATATTTACGTTTGCTTTTATTTATTTAGCTTCACTAATCGTAGCGATCAGCTCATAATCAATCGTGTGTGTGAGTTTTTCTTCCTTGGCCTTTCATTCGTCTTAGTGACATGTGACGCCATGCATATATTAACATATTCATTCTTCCATGCTAAAGAGGGTCCACAATATTCACGGGAAAGCTAGTTGAAGATATACTTCTCGAATTTAATATTTACGAAGTAACATTCAGATCCCTACTCCCTTCAATGTATTGGAAACATGCCTCATTCAACACTACATTCCCCCGAAGGCTTCCCGCCGTGATATTGCAGGAATAGTGCTAAAATCGGCATAAAGTACGCTCACACGCCACTACATACACCAAAATCTACAGTTACCTACCTTTGTTGTGACCAAAGATATCCGATAGGAAGGAGTGAGGCCTGTCTGAGAAAACATCAGCGTTCTTGACCAGGGCCTCTTTGTGGACATTGTAGCCGTTGAGGACGATGACGGGCTTGTGGAAGATGTACACGCTGAAGATGTTGCCATACTGACGTCGCAGTTTGCTGAAAGTCACTCGGGGATCGGCATCCATTTGAAAAATGTTGCCCACCAGTGGTAGAAGAGGGGGCCCGGGGGGAAGTCCAGGGTGACGCCGCGTTGACAGCCATAGAATTAGTAATACAGTGAAAAACACTAGTATCAGAGATGTATTGAACATCAACAGTCCCGCCAGCAGTGCGACAGCAGCCATAATGGAAGCATTGCTTTGATTTAACATGGCTGCCATGTCTAGTTGCCGAATGGATGTAGGTTATCTCGCTGATGCTTTTTGTAACCCAGTGCACCACAGTGTGCCCTCGAACTGACGTCTACTCGGACTTGTTTGGTCGACCGTGTGTCACAACCGATACAGCACTTCTGTCAAATATCGAACTTGTGTATAGTTATACAGATGGTCTTAAATGGTATTTAAAGTAACAGCTCCTGGATCAGGCCATAACTGGTAAAGGTAGGGGTAATACATTTAGACTCGTCCATTGTCCACTCGTCACACTGCCCCTACCAACCCAGGCGATCGCCATGTTTGTTTGCCCTTTCTTTACGTGTGTCATGTATAACACTAAAGCACACATCTCGTTATGCCAGCTTTAGAATGCGACATACATATTGATGTTTTACCTTACAGTATACGTGTGAAATATATGTTTTAATATCATTTTAATGGATTCAGTAGGGTCCAAGCTTAACAGAACATATATCCACAGCGAATATAATGAAGCCTTCTTGAATTAAATAAAACATATTTCATCACAATTTATACTTAATTAATAGATGCTTACATACTTACTTTATTGCGTCCTGTAATGCATTCAACATTTTATAAGTTTCGTCCGTCAGGCATTTAACAATCACGTTATCACAATTTCTACTTGATCAATTTATTACATGCTGCAAAACATTCAACATTAACACAAGTTTCGTCTGTTAGGCATTTAAGAATCACGGTATCACAATTTCGACTTGATTAATTCATTACATGATGCAATCCATTCAACATTAACACAAGCTTCGTCTGTTAGGCATTTAAGAATCACGGTATCACAATTTCTACTTGATTAATTTATTACATGCTGCAATACATTCAACATTAACACAAGTTTCGTCTGTTAGGCATTTAACAATCACTGTATCACAATTTCTACTTGATTAATTTCTTACATGCTGCAATACATTCAACATTAACACAAGTTTCGTCTGTTAGGCATTTAAGAATCACGGTATCACAATTTCTACTTGATTAATTTATTACATGCTGCAATACAGTAAAGATGTTTGAGCTTCCCGTGTTAGGCATTCAACAATGTATTTTCGATGTTCTGATTATTCACGTTCCTCATAATAAAGAAGTTGACATCCATACATAACTGATGAAGGAGTAAGTAGATACTCCGAAACGTTGAGTTCCTTATAATAAAGAAGTTGACATCCATACATAACTGATGAAGGAGTAGGTAGATACTCCGAAACGTTGAGTTCCTCATAATAAAGAAGTTGACATCCATACATAACTGATGAAGGAGTAAGTAGATACTCCGACACGTTGAGTTCCTCATAATAAAGAAGTTGACATCCATACATAACTGATGAAGGAGTAAGTAGATACTCCGAAACGTTGAGTTCCTCATAATAAAGAAGTTGACATCCATACAAAACTGATGAAGGAGTAAGTAGATACTCCGAAACGTTGAGTTCCTCATAATAAAGAAGTTGACATCCATACATAACTGATGAAGGAGTAGGTAGATACTCCGAAACGTTGAGTTCCTCATAATAAAGAAGTTGACATCCATACATAACTGATGAAGGAGTAAGTAGATACTCCGAAACGTTGAGTTCCTCATAATAAAGAAGTTGACATCCATACATAACTGATGAAGGAGTAAGTAGATCCTCCGAAACGTTAAGATCCTCGTAATAAAGAAGTTGACATCCATACATAACTGATGAAGGAGTAGGTAGATACTCCGAAACGTTGAGTTCCTCATAATAAAGAAGTTGACATCCATACATAACTGATGAAGGAGTAAGTAGATACTCCGAAACGTTGAGTTCCTCATAATAAAGAAGTTGACATCCATTCATATCTTCCTTAGGTGTATCACTCCTAAATGCCTTCTGTTGTATCTTGCTTTGGTTGAGTGTGTTTCTAGATGTGTATGGAAAGCTACAGTCGTGCAGAAAAACCGAACATGCTTGAACCGACACTTCCAGTCCTGCGTTGGGGAGCCGACACTGTACGTGTCAATACCATGGATAATCCAGCATGTGAAGGAATATATATTTCTGTGGAAAAAATGAAATTTTCTGTCACGAAGATTACATTCTTGCAAGGTTTGTTTTCATAAAGAGAAATATTTAGGCTCATAGTTTTAATTTAAAAAGTATCTGGTCTATCCCAATTGCGTGAATCGATGCTCATGATATCAATCACTGGATTGTCTGGTCAAGACTCGATTATTAACAGACCGCCGTCATATGGCTGGAATACTCCTGAGTGCGGCTTTAAGCAACAGACCAACCAACTAACGGGATCGGGTCCGAGTAGTGTAGATCGAAGCTCATGAAATCAATCACTGGATTGTCTGGTCCAGATTCGAGTATTTTCAGACAACCGACATATAACTGGAATATTGGTGAGTGTGGTGTTTAACAATAAACAATCACTCATATATAGAGCATTATATTCTCGGACACGGAGTTGGTTACTAGCATAGATGATATGTTTGTTCTTACATAAGCTCAGGCATAATAATACAACATGTGTCAAGTCATGTGTCACGTTTTACACGTAATCACATACATAGGAATGTAAGCAATAAAATTATTTCAATAATCATAAGAAATATTGAGTCCATTGTACGTTTCCGACTATTTTCATGAGCATGTTTATAAATCACTACAAATTAGTGTTGACACCAGGTGATCGCCAAATGGTGATCGTATCCTGCCCCATCAGTGGCACCTGTCACAAACACATGCAAAGGCAAGTCCAAAGTTCACCTGAACAACCACGACAACAAGTAAAATTGGGAAATTGCATCGGACATCATTTTTGTCACTGAAGCATAAAAGTTTGAAATGTCCTCTAAATGTCAACCAGAAAAGGTTTTAAAAGATTTACTAACGACTGGAATTATGTAACCCTGATCAAACAACTGTGAGTCATATAATGCATTGCCTGAGTCTTGATATAGCTTGCTGTAATAGCATTTCTTGAGTCTCGTGTACATAAGATGGCCGGAAGTCGTCTGTTCGGAGTGTTGGAATACCATGCTCCTGTTATGGTCGAACGATATGACCCGTTGAGATAGTTGAGTGGACAAGACAAAGAGAAACTCAACGATGACATCAAGTCCATACATCGAAAGAAAACGCAAAGGTGGAACTTTGCTGTCGAAGAACTGACCGTAAAGAAAAGGCTAGAAGAATACGTCCACTGCGACAGGACACAAAGACTGTATATATACCAAGCGCAAGCTAGAGTACTGGGACACAGAGCTCCTCGACAACAGACGATCCACATGATCTGCTATCAACCAGGAGATTCCCAGCACGGCTGCCGCCTGTGTTATCAACCCAAGAGATGTCACCCTCAGACCCTGCGAGACGAGCTCCACAAACGTGAGTGAATGATTAAGTTGGGTTTAACGCCGCTTTTAACAGCATTCCAGTTATATCACGGCGTGTCAGCTTAATGTGGGAGGAAAGCCCGAAGTGATGCAGATCTCAGACGTTTACCATTTCGGCGAAACCCACGAGCACGGGTATGGTGCTGACAGACATAATCGGGGCAAACCGGGATTCGAACCCACAATCATGGTTTTCTGGCGTGCCCAAGGGACGCACAGGGAATAACGGCGCCACTGGCAAACGGCTGTCTGAGCAATTTCTATGTACACAGTTGATATTTGAAAATACATCGAAGACCGAGGGTTGTACACGAACTTTCAGTCCGTAAAATCCTGTACACCATGCACGCTACAGGCGCACGTAACCAATGTATCATTACGTGTTCGAGTTACAAAGACACGTGTTTCGTGAAATACTGCCCGTACTTAAGTGGTATACCAAAGTTCTATACGTGTAAGACAAAAAGCACTTGGATCTAATTCCGACTGAACTATTCTTCAAAGCGGCGTAAAACACTCACTCACTCACTCACTCACTCACTCACTCACTCACTCACTCACTCACTCACTCACTCACTCACTCACTCACTCACTCACTCACTCACTCACTCACTGTTTGTGGACCCTTCATAGATGAATGTGAGGAAATCAAGAACAGTTCTGAAGAGGATGCATTATGATTGCTTCATGTGGGAAGCAGCCATCTGTGAAAGGTTACAGGATGTCGGCCACATATAATATGTTGACGAGAGCAATTTACACCCCGGAGACACATTCGCGCATTTGATGACCTATAGCACCAACTATGACCTATATCATCAACTATGACCTATAGCACCAACTGTGTACATTACAGTCAAGTGACACTGGGCGTCAGGGAAGGCATTACAACGCTTGTCATGTGGTAGATGCGTGATCAGGGACAGCAGTTGGAGATGTGTGGGGTCAAGGCTGCCATGAGTCTCTGGTTTCCTTTTTCGGGGGTTTACTGGTTCAGACATCTTATCAAACAAGTTTTAGACCTACACGTAATGTCTGTATTGGGCCTGGCACATACGTAAACACATGTGAAGGCAAGACAAAACGAACGTGCACAATGTAGGGGGAGAGGGTGTTTAGGTAGTTTTATGACGGGGAGAGGGTCTACAGGTAACTCATTTGTCACGTGTACAATGTGGAGGGGAGAGCGTGTACAAGTAACTCTTTTGTCACGTGTACAATGTGGAGGGGAGGGGGTCTACAGTTAACTCGTTTGTCACGTGTACAAGGTGGAGAGGAAAGGGTCTACAGTTAGCTCTTTTGTCACGTGTACAATGTGGAGGGGAGAGGGTCTACAGTTAACTCCATTGTGACGTGTACAATGTGGAGGGGAGAGCGTGTACAAGTAACTCTTTTGTCACGTGTACAATGTGGAGGGGAGGGGGTCTACAGTTAACTCTTTTGTCACGTGTACAAGGTGGAGGGGAAAGGATGTACAGTTAACTCTTTTGTCACGAGTACAATGTGGAGGGGAGAGCGTGTACAAGTAACTCTTTTGTCACGTGTACAATGTGGAGGGGAGAGGGTCTACAGTTAACTCGTTTGTCACGTGTACAAGGTGGAGAGGAAAGGGGTCTACAGTTAACTCTTTTGTCACGTGTACAATGTGGAGGGGAGAGGGTCTACAGTTAACTCTTTTGTCACGTGTACAATGTGGAGGGGAGAGGGTCTACAGTTAACTCTTTTGTCACGTGTACAATGTGGAGGGGAGAGGGTCTACAGGTAACTCTTTTGTCACGTGTACAAGGTGGAAGGGAGGGGGTCTACAGTTAACTCTTTTGTCACG